ACCTTAGTCTTCAAAGCGACATACTTGCTCTTTAACATTTTAAAGAGGTCCACTGTAGTAGATTTATCCAGTGCAATATGTGATTTGATTTCTTGACTGCTGCTTCCATGGACACTGATTGTGGATCCAAGTAAAATGAAATCCTTGAAAACTTCAATCTTTTCTCCAATTATCATGATGTTGCTTATTGGTCCAGTTGTGAGGATTTCTCTGTTCTTTATGTTGAAGTGTAATCCATACTGAAGGCTGTAGTTTTTGATCTTCATCAGCAAGTGCTTCAAGTCATCTTCACTTTCAGCATGCCAGGTTGTGTCATCTGCATATCACAGGTTGTTTGAATCTTCTTCTGATACTGATGCCGTGTTCTTGATCATATAATCTAGTTTCTTGGGTTATTTGAATACGTATACAAATTTGATAAGTATGGAGAAAACTGACAAACACCTTTCCTGATTTTAACCATGCAGTATCCCCTTGTTCTGTTCAAATGACTACCTTTTGGTCTATGTAAACTTTCCCCATAAGCATAATAAATAATCTGGAATTCGCATTCTTTACAATTTTATCCATAATTTGTTATTATCCACACAGTTGAATGCTTTGCAAAGTCAATGAAACACAGGTAAACATCTTATTGGTATTCTCTGCTTTCAACCAAGAGCCACTTGTCATCAGCAATTGTATCCCTCATTCCATGTCTTCTTCTAAACCTTGCTTGAATTTCTGGCAGTTGAGTGTACTACTGCAATCATTTCTGAATTATTTTCAGGAAAATTTTATTTGCATGTGATATTAATTATATTATTTTATCATTTCCACATTATGCTGGATCATCTTTCTTTGAAAAGGGCACAAATATGGATCTCTTCCAGTCAGTTGGACAGGTAGCTCTCTCCCAAATTTCTTGGTATAGATAAGTGAGGACTTCCAGCATTGCATTGCATACTATAGAATTCCATCTATGCTGTTGTTGCTGTTTTTATGTGCTGTGGAGTTGGACCCAACTCATAGAGATCCCTCCTGGGTTTTCAAGAGGGTATCACTACGGAAGTAGATTTCCCAACTTTCTTTCTGAGGAGTGGCTGAAGGCTTATATACCTAAAAACCTGAAGGCTTAGGATCATGGTTGCCAGGGACATTGAGCTCAATTGGCATAACATAATACACAAAAACATTGTTCTATGTCCTACTTTGATGACTTGAGACTGGGATCTTAAAAGTTTCTGAGCAGCCATCTAAGATGCAACTACTGGTCATTCCTCATATGAAGCAAAGAAGAGTGAAGAAAATCAAAGATGTATAGAAAAAATTAGTCCAAGGGTGTAATGGGCCATGGGAACCTCAGCCTACACAACCCTGAGACCAGAGGAAATAAATGGTGCCCAACTACCAATGCCAACCACTCAGAAAGTGATCCATATTGGAGATATTGGATAGTGGAGGAAAAAATGTGGAACAAAATTAAAAACAAAAAGACCAGTAGTAGTGGTCAGACAGAGACTGGTGAAATCCCTGAGACTATGACACAGAGCACTCTTTGGGCACTGGACTTACTTGTGTGTCTTCACTCTCTGCCAAACAGTAGATAGGGCTCTCAGCTGAACAACTACACAAGGAAGATTCACTCCTTAGAATAGTCAACCATCGGAGACCAGAAAGATGGCATTTGCCCAGGCAGAAACCTAAGCAGGCAGGAATGCATAGATAAGAAAGGACACAGGGAAGGGATGACCACCAGGAGGAGATGGGAGGACAGCTGTTATTATGGGAATTGTAATTAGTATCGTGAAAAGAAATGTTTACAAACTGTTGAATGTTAAAAGAATCTGCTTTGTAACATTGCAACCAAATCACAATAACAAGTGTTTTTTGCTTTTTTTTTTTTTTTAAATGAAAATTTGGCTGTACACAATAAAAATATAATTCTCTCTCTTCCCTCACCCCAAATAAGATAAAATAAAATACAGAAAGATGATACCCAAGAGCAAAGGATATATCCAGGAAGTCAAAGAGCTATTAGAACTACCCTGAGAAAACTGCTGAAACAAAGTGGAGGGCATATTCAATTATAAAACAATATTTCCTAGCTCCAAACTCAAAATTTTTCATTTAAATTGCCTGCAAAATACTCAGAAAAAATTATTTATAAAAGACTAAAATCTGGACCCACCATTGTGAAATTAAAGAATATTAAGGTAATAAAAAGACTCTAAGAACTTCAAGGTGGAAGTTCAAGAATGAAAAAAGTAAGTCACATTTAAGCAAATAAAAGAGGATACCTACCAGTATCTGCTAAATATTGATGTTGCAATACCAAACAGCAGTGTTTTTACTTATGAAAATGAATATTAATAACCTGGACTACGAAAGACTAGGGAGAAAGGTCTGATAATCAACTTCCAAAAATTAGCAATGAAAACTCTGTGAATCACACAGAGTGTTGTCCAATACTCCCTAAGGTGGGAGTTACAAAAAACACACAGTGGCTACAATAAGGACTCAAGTAGTCCAATGACTGTGAGGATGGTGCGTGACTGGGCAACATTTTGTTCTGTTGGACATGTCTCCATGCACCAAACCAAACACCAAACTCACTGCCGTTGACTCATGATTCGACTCATAGCTATCCTTCCTTGGGTTTCAGAGGCGGTATCTCTATGGAAGTAGATTGCCCCATCTTCCTTCTGAGGAGTGGCTGGTGGGTTTGAACCACCAGCCTTCTGGTTAGCAGTCAAATGCCTTAGGCATGTCTCCATGAGTAGGAGTCAATTCAATGACAACTAACAAAAACAATTTATTAACAACAATTTTTAGGAGATTTTAAAATAACATGAAAAATAACATTTATGCAATGCAAGAAAAACACTTCCAGGGGTGAAAGACCAGCTAGCTACTCCTAGGAAACGTCTCTGAAAGAGATGAAATATATAAGTGCCATTGCTTAAGGGCACGGAGTAGAGAGTTTTGGTGCAACCTTTCTAGAGGAAAATTTGGCAATATAAATTCTTTAAAATTAGTTTATTTTTGAGGCAACATTTCCATACCTCTGAATTTCTGTATGGAATTAATCAGGGATATGTTGATATTTAGTATAATGTAATTATAAAAGACCATTAAATAAACTCAGTGTCCTAAATTAGAGGACTAAATGTTTAAAGAAAGGGTTATAGCCACACAGTACAATATTATGCTAACTTTTGAATTCATGTTGTATAACAGTTATTGATAAAATATTCATGATATAGTTTATAATGGAAGCAACCAGTTGTGAAGTAGTCTGAATTATGATCCTGATTTTTAAAATTTGTTATGATAAGAACAATAAAATCCTAATAGTAGTTATTTCTGAGTATAAGGAGTACATGTTATTTTAATCAATGATAATTTACTATTTCAGAAGCCAGAATAAACACCTAAAAACTTATTTTAAATTCCCATGCTCTTGAACATCTTTGCTTTATTTTTAGTTGCCTTCAAACAAATTTCCAACTTCCAGTCAAAATGGCTATCTGACATGCTAGTACCTATCTGAATTACCCTCTTTTGGAAACCAACTATGGTAGGGGTAGTTCTCCCCCCCACCCCAAATAAATGAAACTTGGCATCTTGCTTTCTCATAGGACCCT